CGGTGCTGGCGGCGCTGGAAGTAGCACTGGGTCTGGAGGCGGCGTTCGAGGCAGTTGTCACCATGGCAACGCCGGATACGACTCCACCGGTGGCAGTGGCGTCTGTCGTGACCCCGGTGACATGCTGGGTAGTGGTGCTGCTGCTGCTGCTACTGTTGCCAGTGGTGGGGTTGGTGGTGGCGGCGGTGGTGGTGGTGGTGGCGGAGGCAGCAGCCTGTATGCGCTGTGTCAGATGGCGTCCGTCCACGATGAAGAGGCGTCCAAGCTGTCTGAGGAGTCTACGAACAGCGGCGATGAGCCGCCTCTGCCGAGCGGCACGCTGCAGCAGCAGTTGTTGCTCTACGCCCAGTCCAAGGGGGTAGGCGATGTGTGCATTCGCGTTGTCAATGGCTTTCATGCAAACGGACATTAGCAAAAGCGGGTTTTCGAGACTGCCGGGAAATGGCCCTATTTCGTGAAAGACAATGAAAGATGGGCAGTCGCTTGTTGCCACAAGCAATCCAGCCAATTTCACGCAGCCTTGCTTTCGCAAGAGCTGTTCTCGTCCCGCCTCGAGTCGACTGCAGTTTCCACATCGAACAGGTCTTATCAACACCCCCACATGGGGGTCGAACTGTTCGGCCGCAACATTGCCAAGATGCCCTTGTGTCACAGAATAGGTGTAAATTTCAAGCAACCAAATAGGGTGATTGACTGGTAGTCTCAAAACTCTGCTTATACATACGAAAAATAAGTAATCTAGCGGATTGTTATAGCAAAGATACGCTTGCTTCATCGAAAATCACACCAAAGTGTGCCCGAGTGGTTGACGTGTCGAGATGACGTGCTGCAATGTCACGGTTCGACTCCCGCTGGAGAGATGTTGATAAGGCCTGTTCGATGTGGAGACTGCAGTCAACTTCAGTCGGGATGAGAACAATTTTCGGGAGAGCAAGGCTGTGTGAAATTGCATGGAAACGTCAGTTTTACTCACATGATTGTGTGAAAATTATACTACCAGTCCTCCATCTCTTTAAACGAAATACAGTGAACACATCTCATAGAACTGATTTACTGGTAGCCTCGAAAGTCTTCTTGTCTGTACGAAAAATGGTGTACCTTGCCAAAAAATGTTAACTAATGAGATGTATTCACCCTATTTCGTGTAAGGTGATGAAGGACTGGTAGTACAATTTTCCCACAATCGTGTGAGTTGAGCTGACGTTTCCATTCAATTTCACATAGCCTTGCTTTCCCAAAAGTTGTTCTCATCCAGGCA